TTCCAGTGAAATATATTTATGTTTGTGGTTGTAATGTGACAAAATATGGAAAAGTTCAAGGGGTATGAATACTTTTGCAAACCACTGTAAGTATGAATGGATGGATGTTTTATAAATGCATTTAAGTAAATCCACAACTTCTAATATAGTTTGAAGTACAATTTTTATGCTAGTTTAAACAAAGACTAAGTTAAGCTGTGAACTGCAGTTAGACATTTCTATTCAGTCAAGAAAGCCAAATTAATTGTAAATTAATATTGAAGTCATCCTCACTGAGGTAGGTTAACACACACTGTAAAGGACCATGTAGCAAGGACTAAACTTCAGTGTTAAAATAACCAAAATATTTTATTAAAAGTGCCTTTTGCTCTTATAACCACTATGAACATGCATACTATTCATTGGAATTTAAAAACTATTAGAAATTGATTCCAGATGGTTACAGAACATCATGAAGTGGAATCAGAGTTTGCCAGGTGTGCACAACTGTAAGTAAAGCAAAATGTTCCTACTTTGAATTATCTAAATAAAAATAAATTATATTTTGGTTCATATAACAATGTTTAGAYCTCTACATGATTCCAGTATGTGTTCCATCAAAGTTTGAATGACCTCAGCGTTACATTTTAAAGTTGAAAGCAAACAAAAATATAACATTTAATGAGAAAGTGTGTCCATACATTTTTACTGGTAGCGTATAAGCCAGAATTATTTATCTGACAAATGCTAATAGCTTTTTCTTTTATTTCTTTAACTAGATGCCCCGATAGTCATCGGTAGACAGGAATTCTCTAGTTGCAGTTCTCTGTATGTCAAAAGAGGCCATATTCCAAAATGGCAAAATAGCTACTCCAGCTGCCGCTGTCTGGACAGAGCTGAGTCAACAGATAGAGCACAAAATGTCTGCAAAGGCCCTGTACACTTTTTTTAAGTGTAACAGACACAACATCTGGTCATCTTTGGAAATAAGTGATCAAGTTAGTGATCCAGAAAGTAGTGTTGACACAGACATAGAAGACTCAGGTTCGATTTCTCCCATACAAAAAGACTTTCATTCTTTTCAGATTGAAGTTCCCTTTGAAGAATGGATTAAATTTATTCCTGAAAAAGTTGAAAACAGATAAGTATTCTCCATCTGGAAAAAGGGAATACACAGTGTTGAAGCCTGGCAGTTGGGCCCATGTGATAAATGATCTGATGTGGAGGAAGGTCAAACACACATGCACATTTGTGTTTCAAAGAGCCAAGGTCTATCCATCTGTCACCAGTAAATACATGGAGATCAGAGGATTCTGTAAAGAGTGTCATAGCCATTTAGATAGTACATGTGACAAAGAGCCAGCAATTAATTGCCCAATGGTGCTCCTAAGTTCCATAAAAAACACAGATGTGTCTCTGCATACTGGTCGTTGCAAGCGGTTCGTGTCTGGAAACCTGTGTGAGCAGATTGCCAAGGAGCTGTTTGAGGGCAGGAAAGAACCAGCTGTATGGAGGTCAGCAAAGGCAGCAGATCTGATGGATGTTGGAGATCCTGAGCCAAGCCACCTTCCTAATTTAGCCACCCTGCGAAAAGCAAAACAGGAGAGAAAGCAGTTGGAATTAGGGGACAAAGATCCCATTGCATCTTTGCAATTATTAAAATACAGTACACCTCACAGTGGGAGCATTAGAGATATTGGACTGGACAAGTTTTTTTGTCACTACTGGAGTCAAACTCAAATGCATGTGTACAAGGAATTTTGCAAGAACTCTCACCCAACAGTCTGTTTTGATGCAACTGGCTCAGTAGTGAGAAAACAGGTGAAACCAAGTGGCACATCTGGCCACATCTTCTTGTACCAAGGTGTTCTGACAACAAACAGCTGCTCCAGTGTCCCAGTGGTGCAAATGCTGTCAAGAGAGACATGACATTAATGCCATCGCAACCTGGTTAACAGAATGGATTCGTGCAGGTGCAGCTGTCCCAAAGGAAGCTGCGAGTGATTTCTCTCTGGCCATTCTCGGACCTCTGGTGAAGGCTTTTACTCCTCATCATGATCTGAAGCCCTACATAAATGAATGCTTTCATGTCTTACTTGGGAACCAGTCAGCAAGACTCCCCCCCTGTTTTGTCAGGGTTGATGTTGCGCACTGCATCAAGATGATCTGCCAGTGGGACTGCCTGAAAAACAAAACACATCGTGTCAAAGATTTCTTTGTCAGGTCATTAGCAAAGTCACAATGCTTGGACCATGCAAAACAGCTCTTAAGTGCCATCTTTGTTGTGGTCCTCAGTGAAGCAGATGGTGACGACAGTTCTGCAGCTCGTCTTGCATCAGAAAGATGCAAGAAGTACCTGAAAGGTCAAATAGCAGCAGGCTCCATCATCATTCCAGATGAAGTGACAGAGGAAATGGATCAAGTGGATCCATGTRACGAGATCCAAACTGACCTACGACACTGGGTGRCAAAAATATGTGAGGAGAGCAGGTCACTTGCTGCAGCTAATGGGGACAGAGACAATATCCACTTCCTCCCTGAGATCATTCCCAATATAATAAGACTTGCAAGTTAYTTACCACTCTGGACAGGAATAATGGTCCCTCTGTTCCACAGCACCAGCATCACAGCAAGCTCAGCCACTGTCGAAGCTGAATTCAAAAATATCAAACATGGCCTTTTCAAACATGATAACTTGCCTGTTCGAGTTGATGCCTTCATTGCTCATCATCTTTCCTTCATTGAGGGAAACATGCGGATTGCTTCAGCACATGAAAAAAACAACGAGGCAACATTGGGATCAGCAACAGTCACAGAAGCCAATCCAGCAACAATGACTGCCCACAGTGATGAAGGCAAGATAAAAATGGATGCTCACCCTCATGTGGAATCTGATGCTGCCACAAGCATTCCTCCAACAGCTGAAGATTAGGTGGAAAACTGGAGAGGCCTAATTCTTCCACCCAAAAAAAGGAAGAGCACTTCCTACCTCTCTCCTTGCACTGAAAGGCTCCATGCAGATTCATCTTTTGGGACTAAAAGAGTGAAACTGGGGCTATTAAAAATGGTAACCTGCTTCAGCCTAATAGACACGGGAAATCAAAAATCTTTGTGCTGAATACCTGTGCGTTTGATGCATTTTTTTCAGTGCTTATGCTGTGCTTTCTRTGACAGCTCTGCATTTCAAAATGCTGTAAGGAAAAACAGTGACAACCCAGTCCTRCAGCTGGTAAAAGCCATTGCCACAGAGGGTGTGACTCAACAGACCTACTCACGAAGGGCCGAGCTGCTTAGTTCACTGTTTGAAGCAGTGCAGTGAAGACTGGTGCTCTCCACATTGATGCCCAGTGCAAAGTGCAAAGTGCACATAAATATGACAAGKGAAGAACCACTTGTTTCTCCAGCCATTTCTGTCCTTAGGGATTCTGGTATGGCTCAGCTCGACACCGCTGTGGAAAAAGGACTCTCCCTTCCTCTGTCTCCATGCCTCAGGCCACTCCAGAATGAATCTCTGTGTCCATCAGAGCTGAAGACAGAAGACAGGACCTCAAGAAATGTGCTCTGTGCAGGCAGAGTCACCCACAGCTACAGCATTGGCGATATAGCATGGATTGAKACTGACCTTGCTAACCAAACTGCAATTCCCTTGAGTGAATTTCCATCCACTATAGTTCTCCAAGGAAAGACCTTCACTTTCAGATCAGTCATTGCTTTCAAGGGAAGCATGACCAAAGATGGCCTGGGGCGTAATGCCGCATACTGCAGGAGAGTGTCTGGGAGCTGTATGACGACCTGACAGAGTGCAAACAGCATCTGAAAAGACAAAAATACAACCACATGCTGTGTTATACACAGCAGACTGAGGATTGTGACCGTGTGATGTCATACCCTGCCTGTAAATAAGTTCATGTTCACCTTTTATAAAAGTCACAAATCTTTTGACAAAATGTGTCTATTTCATGTTCAGTCTTTCCGCATGAAGTCAATTTTCTTAATCTTAAACATTTCCTCCACAAAACCATTAATAACATTTGTTTTGTAGATGAAATAGTTTACTGGTTTAAATTGTGACCACCAGGGGGCTTTGTTAGAATGCACACTAAAGATGTCTGTAGGGGTAACCCTGGTGAAATATTCATTCCTATTTTTTTTTGTCTTTGATTTGCTTTTACACTTATAAGAAGAAAGTCATTTTAAAGTTTGTTTCTATTTCTTTAAGTGAATAGGACAATAAGTCCTATATGTTTTTTTCATTTAATCTTTTAAAAGAGGTTATAATCAATATATCATTACTCAAAGTTTTATTGAATTAATCTTTGCATCTCTCTTTGTTCCAGAGTATAACACTGTGAAAAGAAAAAGAGTTGAAATGTGTTTTATGTTTCTTCTTAGTACTGGTTTATTAATCATGGTTTTATCATTTTTCTTAATTGGTTTAAAGATTAATAATTGTGTACTATTAATTTTTACTATTACTCCATTTGTGCAAAGTGGTGGATGAATTATAACCTTAGTGAAGTGATTTTTAAGACACAGTTTAGTCTCTATTCAGACTTCCAAGGTCTTTTTTGCTGATAACAACTCGCAGCTGGCCGCGCCAATGTGGGAAAACAGATTGTTTTGCCTCTCACCTTTTTTCCTCTCAAGGAACAAATTTTTTCTGTTCTCACAGTTAACAGTAGTTCGTGTTTGTTCGTCGGAGCGAACGGTGCTGTCTGGGTCTCTCTTAGGTGTCCGGCTGGACACCTGTCTGGATGAGGTGAATGTCACTAACCTAATCTACTGCCGAGAAGCACTGGACTGAGACATAAACCTGAAGCCACTGGCTCGTTAGGGGTGTGACAGGAGTCTCCTCAGCCACCTGGTGTCATGAGGACAT